CTCTCGAGATGTGCTATAAGAATATGCAATGAAAAATGGGGTGTTCCATTTAAAAAAATTAATGTGACCTTGACCTGACCTTCGCTACGCAACCCAAGGTCAAACTGATGTGATCAGTAAATACATCTTTTTAAATGCCACAACTTTTGTCTGAAACATTTTTTTGCAAAATTTATATTTTTCCTGATATTCGGGCGTCCCGGTACTTTCCGAACACCCTGTATAATTACATGAAATATTTTATTATATCACGTTACATATGGCTACATGAAATGGTTCGTTAATCAAAATAATATCTCATGTGTCAGAATACGTAATGCTGATTGTAATATCAATAATTGTGCCTATGAGTGAACCTCTGTGATACTAAATATAATTGTATGAGATAGTTTGCTTCAATAATATTTCACATATCAGATATGTAGCTCTAATACTTTTAAAAACATTTGTGTATCTGTCAAAGCAAATCTTTCTGAAAATACTTTTATTGAATGATGATTCGTTTTATCTCTATAAATATTTTAAGTCATTTTGTGTTACAAAGATGTTGCATATATTATAAACATACATGTGGCAATGCCAAAGAAGATACCTGCGGTATCAAATAGTGTTTTATGTTGTAGTCTCCGCGAAGGAAAAACATATTTTTCAAACCTTTTTAGCTTTTGAGTCCAATTAGTAACTGTTCGAGATCGCTGAGAGCATTCTCGAAAAGTCGATCATATATGCCAGAATGTTCGGTCGAGTATCATCGTCGCGACAGGCTCGCGCTGGCCACAGCCCGAAACCGTTTTTCTAGTCGGAGTTCGCTCGCTGGTCGCGGTTGCCATGCCGACTACTCGGCCAATCAAACAAGTGCTCGCGCGAGACAACTCGCTCGCTGGATCGCCGCTGTTGCTAGGCAACCCATATAAGGCAATTTATCCTACGTGTGACAATACTCTCGGCAACCGCGACCAACCAACGCACGATCTGTCGCTAAGAGCTTCTTTTTTAAAAGCTGCTCTCGCTGATTTCGAGGGAGTCTTGCACTGCTGTTCGGAAGCGTGAAGTCGCGTCTCGTTTCGCGATCAGCTGTTTCAGCCGGATCCACCTTGCAAGTCTCAAAAGAGTAGGAGACTCCGGAGTTCGAGTCATTGTCAAGAGCCGGCTTTCCTCTCGCGACTGCGAAATCCGCCGCCGTCTCCTCGTTGAACCCTATTCGAAGCGACAATCTCGCTATAAATTCATTCGAACGCCGAAGAGTCAAATCTCTCTCGGGCCGGCTCTTCATTCGCGTGCCTCTCGGCGGCTTGAACTCGCGCCGTTAACCTCTTTGCGCCGTTAACCCGACCGTGTGCTTCGCCTCCGCTGCGTCCGCTAGCGCGGAGATCGCATGTGTCGACGCCTTAGTGTGAGTCTGGACCGACTCACAACTGCCCGATAGCATTCGTTCAGCTCGTCGCCAACTTCGAAACTCTCGTCTTTCATCGCCTCAATTCCTTTGTGGATTGTTAATTGTTTGTGAGTGCGTGGTTCGACGGTCGCGGACGCGCGTGCCAGGGACGCGAAAGACTTCCGTCGATCGCGATCAAGATTTCCGCTCGCGGATCGTCAGTTTCGCGCTCAACAAGATTTCCGTCGCGATCGGCTGACCCGGCCGTCGGCACAACGAAGATCTCCGATACGACCACCTTACACGTCCGACCTCTCGTTAACGAGAACCAGTGAATTGTTAAACCAATAAAGGTTCCGTTATTGTGCATCATTCGCTTAATTAATCCCCTATCTCACCTTATCTCACCGCGCCCTGCGCTAGGCGAAATCAGCGCGCTCGATCGCTGTCCGACGGGCGCACAACCTGTCGGATCCGCGATGTTTTATGCACATATATATTTTTCCACTTCTCGTGGTGTTAGGTATTTTGATAAGTAATGCTTCTTTTTTTGTAATATTTTTCATGCTGGACTAATTTTATGTGATTTGTCTATGATACGTGAACTATCGGCTTACGTGATACAGACCATGTTAGATGGAAACTATGAAATTTTCTTGAAATCTTGTTTTTTCCGTATTAACGTTTCTAGAGTTTATTTAAAAAACGAAACTTTGTTTCTAATTACACATAATTGGAAATCGACTTTTTTATCTACATCTGTATTAAGAAAAAAGTGGTGGAAAAAATAATATAACTTTTTTCTTACAAAATTAGCTGTACTCACAATTACTGTGAATAGTAGAATATACAGCTGGATACAATACTTGGAGAACGAATATAGAATATATTCAGCGGCCAGTACAATGAATTCGTGCCCAAACTTGTTATTATGGAAGGTATGGACAGAGCTTTACGCGGTGACCCACCTACCGTGATTGACAAGCTGGAAAGTTTGGGCTCCAGAGTCATTTGTATGCCTCGTCATTTGTATGCATCGTAGATAAGTGGTGTGGAGGAGAAGTGAAGTTTGAGGCAAGATAAAGGTTGGGAGTTTTGGAGGTTATGGCTGCAGGAGTAAGAAGTGGTGTGGGGAAGGGGGTGAGAGGAAAAATAGAGGAAAGTCAGAAGAAAATAGTCACAGAGGAGAAAGGAAATGGAAAAAGAGTGGTGTTCAAAGAAACGAGTAAGGAGGATAAGGAAATAGAAGGAAAGGAAAGTGATCAAATGGAGATGTGGAAGAGGGAGGCAATAGTACAGGTTAGGAAGGAAGTGGGAGAACAGGTAAAGAAGGATTTAAAGAAATTACAGGAAGAAAGGGTAATGATGAATGAACAGGTTAAAAAAGAAATTAAGAAATTACAAGAGGAAAGGATGGAGTATAGAGAACTGTGACTAAAAAAGGAGTAAGGCAAGGGTGTGCGTTAAGCCCGTTATTATTTAGTATATATATTGCGGACTTAGATAAGATGTTAGAGAAGAGAGGTATAGGGGGAATAGAATTAGGTAAAGATAGAATATGGAATATTGCGTATGCGGATGACATAGTGCTGCTAGCAAAGAACAGAGTAGCGATGATAGATATGATGAACACGTTAAAGAAAATTCTAAAGGAAAGAAATCTAGAGTTGTCTACGAATAAAACGAAAATTGTGGTGTTTAATAGGAAAAGTAGGGAAAGAAAGGAAAAATGGAAATGGAAAGATAGAGATATAGAAGAGGTAAAGGAGTTTAAGTACTTAGGATTCACTTTTAATCAGGCAGGGAATTATAAGGCGCATATAAATGATTTGTATAAGAAAGGTAGGGTAGCTTTGAATAAGGTGTGGGGTTTGGGAGAAAGAATATGTAGAGATGATTTTATAAGGAGATGGACATTATTTAGATATTTGATACAAAGTGTGATGACGTACGGAGTAGAAGTATGGGGATGGGAGGAAAAGGAGAAATTAGAAAGAGTCATGATGGACTACGTAAGATGGATATTTAGATTGGATTTTTGCACACTGAGGTATATTATTATGTATGAGCTAGGGATGGAAAAACTGAAAATAGGGTGGGGTATAAGGGCGAAAAGATATGAAGAAAAGATCAGGAACAGTAGCAAAAAGAGATTAATAAAAAAAAGTGTTGGGGAGAGAAGGAGGAAAGTGGGTGGAAAGATTTATATGGGAAGGAAAGGGAAAGATATTATAATAGGAATGGTTGGGGTTTAGAAAGAGTTAAAGAAGGAATGAAAGGAGGTTGGGATATGGAAGGAGAGATAATGAAAAGAGAAAGGGATGTGCAAAAACATTGAATAGAGAATAAGATAATGGAGGCTAAATATAATGAAAGATATAAAGAGATAAGGAAAATAGGGGAGGGACATAAGTATTTAGAAAAGAGCAGTTTGATGAGGATGGGGACAAAAGCGGGGGAAGAGGTAAGGGCGCTTATTAAGCTAAGGTGTGGTAATTTAGAGTTAAAAAATAAGTATTGGCTAGAAGAGGAAGAGAGAATGTGCTTAATGTGTGGTAGGGAGCAAGACGAGATGAAACATTATATGTATACGTGTGAGGTGGGAAAGAGATGGTTTTGTGGAGATGGATAGACTGGAAGGTAGGGGAAAAGAAAGGATATGGAATGATGAGATCGATGAAACTAAAGCGTGGTCTACAATGAGAACTTAAGAAAAAATACTTAAGCTTTAAAACTTAAGCCGCACATTTAAGACATAAGCTGTTAAGTTGTAGTGTCTACAATAGACTTCGCAAGCCCACAGCTTTAAGCTTTAACGACTACAAAGAACCAATCAGAAAGCAGATTGTTTCGCAGACGCATGGGGCAGTGTAAAGCGCACGTTTATAAACGCTATGATTTTATAATGGAAGAAGACGATGATTTTATGTTCTTTTTTGTGGCAATTGCATGGGTGCAAAGGATAACATGTTATTTGTTGTTAAAAAGATGCAACATTAGAAATCGGAGATGGTGGATGCTGCCTGATAAGCGAGAGAGATCTCATCTGGGAGTATACACTACTTTGTTTTTGAGGTATAAACACACGAATCATGAAGAATTCTTCAAAATGACAAGACTTACAGTTGAACAATTTGAAGAACTGCTCAATTTGATTAGCCCTGCCTTGATAAAGAACAGCATACGAGAATATTTGGATCCTGCATTTCGTCTAGCATTTACAGTGTGGTAAGTTATATTGAGCAATGAAATATTCACATACATTCTCTTCATCTTCTATTAAACTGCATGTTTGCACTTTTTCATAGCTTTCTAGCATCAGGAGACAGTTTGGTTTCAATGGCCAGATGTTGGCGTATAGGCAGGTCAACATCTTATAATGTTGTTATTGAAACGTGCAATGCTATTTGGCAATGTCTTCGAAGGATATATTTGAAGAATCCTTCTCAAGAAGAGTGGAAAAATATTGAGAAAGACTTTTATAATAGATGGAATTTCCCCAACTGTGTCGGGGCTTTGGATGGAAAGCACATTCGTGTGCAATGTCCACCCAACTCTGGTTCAGCGTATTATAATTACAAAGGATATTACAGTATGGTATTGCTAGCTACATGTGATGCAAATTATGCTTTCACTTCTGTAGATATTGGAGATTATGGTGAGAATATGCATCATATATATTTAATATTAGTCTACAAATAGAGAAATAACAAATTTTTAAATGTACATATCCAATTAATGATATATGTTTGCTTCAGGATCATTGTCAGACACAAGTATTCTCAGTGCATCGGCATTTGGACAAGCTCTGGAACGTGATGAATTAAATCTGCCACCCCCAAAAGTATTGCCAAATTCAACATTACTAGCTCATTACTATTTCGTGGGTGATGAAATTTTTCCGTTACGATTAAATTTACTTCGACCATATGCAAGGAAAAACTTATTAGGGGTCGCCGAAAAAGTTTTCAATTATAGACTCTCCAGAGCGCGACGTGTTATTGAGAACGCTTTTGGAATTCTCGTAACCAGGTGACATTATCGCTTTATTTTAATAATTTGACTTAGACTTTTATTTCTTATCATTAAATTATACACAGAAATCAATGTATACAGCTATATATATGCTTGTTAGGTGGAGAGTGCTAAGAACTACATTAGCCCTAAATCCGGATAATGTGGAGGCTATAATTTCTGCTACAATTTGTTTACACAACTTTATAATGAAAAATGAAGAACACATTGTTGGATTCCAATCATACTGTCCATCTGGTTATGTTGACTATTTTTATGACAATGGCAATGTCATTCCTGGCTCTTGGCGAGAAGAAAACACTCCTGCGTGTGTAACACGACTCAATCGAGTAGGATCTAACCGTGCTGCCACAATTGCAATGAAGCAACAAGACGCAATAGCTGCATATCTCATCTCAAATCAAGGACAAATTCCTTGGCAATGGGAAGTTATAAACAGAGGTCGCATAATAAATGTTTCTTAATTTGTTATAGGCTTTCTACAATAAACTTTTAATCATAATGCATAAGGATGAACCGATTAGAATCCTTGCACGATTGAAAGAACTTTGATTGGTTCATTTCCTTATGCATTATGACTAAAGGGGCTTATTGTAGAAAAAGCCCATTAAACTTTATTATATATTAAGTATATATAAAAATAATTATTTTTCTTTCATTAAATAAGGGTACAATACATTTAAGTTTGTATTTATTTTTTTTACAAAGAATGTACATATGGTTACTGTACAAAACATATATATATATATATATATATATATTCCAATATTTAAAGAAATAAATAAATGTTAACTACAATAGTTAATTATAGTCTTTGGCTTGTTATTTTATAATATTCTTATAAAGTAAATTTAACCAAAACTTGAATAATATTTCCATAATATTTATGATATTAAATCAGTCTAAACTTTAAACAGTTATACAGTACTTTTATATATAATGGAATAAAAAATAAAC